TTAATCAAATCTCCCCCCATTTTTCCCCTTCCTCACCCCCTTTTCTCCCTCTCCCCCCTCCCAGACGTGAAATTCGACGCTCTGAGCGGGGACTACTTCCCCATCCTGTATTTCAACGACTACTGGAACCTGCAGCGGGATTATTTCCCCATCAACGAGAGCGTGCGGCGGCTCCCGCTGCGCCTCTCCTTCTGCCCGCTCTCGCTCTGGCGCTGGCAGCTCTACGCCGCCCAGAGCTCGCGCTCGCCCTGGAACTTCCTGGCGGACGAGCTGCTCGAGCAGTCCGACGACGAGCAGGACTCCGTCAAGGTGAGCGCTCCGCGATCTTTTCCCCACAATTTTACCGCGTTTTCCCCCGTTTTTTTATGGGGTTTTTTCTGGTTTTTTTTCCCCATTTTTCTCTGATTTTTCCCCATTTTTTTCTGGTTTTTTTTGGATTTTTTCTGGTTTTTTTCCCCATTTTTTTCACATTTTTCCCCATTTTTTTCTGATTTTTCGCGGATTTTCCCTGATTTTTTTCCCCATTTTTCTCTGACTTTTCCCCATCTTTTTCTGGTTTTTCGCGGATTTTCCCTGATTTATTTCCCCATTTTTCTCTGACTTTTCCCCATTTTTTCCTGGTTTTTCATGGATTTTCCCCATTTTTTTCCCCATTTTTCTCTGACTTTTCCCCATCTTTTTCTGATTTTTCGCGGATTTTCCCTGATTTTTTTCCCCATTTTTCTCTGATTTTTCCCCATTTTATTCTGATTTTTCACGTATTTTCCCTGATTTATTTCTCTATTTTTCTCTGATTTTTCCCCATTTTTTTCTGATTTTTTTGGGATTTTTTCTGAATTTTTTTCCCCATTTTTCTCTGATTTTTCCCCATTTTTTCTGATTTTTTGCGGATTTTTTCTGGTTTTTTTTCCCCATTTTTCTCTGATTTTTCCCCATTTTTTTCTGGTTTTTCGCGGATTTTCCCCATTTATTTCCCCATTTTTCTCTGATTTTTCCCCATTTTTTTCTAATTTTTCGCGGATTTTTTCTGATTTTTTTCCCCATTTTTTTCACATTTTTCCCCATTTTTTCTGATTTTTTGCGGATTTTTTCTGATTTTTTCCCCCCATTTTTTTCACATTTTTCCCCATTTTTTTCTGATTTTTCGCGGATTTTTTCTGGGTTTTTTTCCCCATTTTTCTCTGATTTTTCCCCATTTTATTCTGATTTTTTTTCCCCATTTTTCTCTGACTTTTTCCCATTTTTTTCTAATTTTTCGCGGATTTTCCCTGATTTTTTTCCCCATTTTTCTCTGATTTTTCCCCATTTTATTCTGATTTTTCACGTATTTTCCCTGATTTATTTCTCCATTTTTCTCTGATTTTTCCCCATTTTTTTCTAATTTTTCGTGGATTTTCCCCATTTTTTTCCCCATTTTTCTCTGATTTTTCCCCATTTTTTTCTGATTTTTTTTTTGATTTTTTCTGATTTTTTTCCCCATTTTTCTCTGATTTTTCCCCATTTTATTCTGATTTTTTTTCCCCATTTTTCTCTGACTTTTCCCCATTTTTTTCTAATTTTTTGCGGATTTTCCCCATTTTTTTTCCCATTTTTTTCACATTTTTCCCCATTTTTTTCTGATTTTTCGCGGATTTTCCCTGATTTTTTTCCCCATTTTTCTCTGATTTTTCCCCATTTTTTTCTGATTTTTTTTTGGATTTTTTCTGGTTTTTTTCCCCATTTTTTTCACATTTTTCCCCATTTTTTTCTGATTTTTTGCGGATTTTCCCTGATTTTTTTCCCCATTTTTCTCTGACTTTTCCCCATTTTTTTCTAATTTTTCGCGGATTTTCCCTGATTTTTTTCCCCATTTTTCTCTGATTTTTCCCCATTTTATTCTGATTTTTTTTCCCCATTTTTCTCTGACTTTTCCCCATTTTTTCTGAATTTTTTTTGATTTTTTCTGATTTTTTTTCCCCATTTTTCTCTGATTTTTCCCCATTTTATTCTGATTTTTCACTGATTTTTTCTGATTTTTTTCCCCATTTTTCTCTGACTTTTCCCCATTTTTTTCTGGTTTTTCCCCATTTTTTTCTAATTTTTCACGGATTTTCCCTGATTTTTTTTCCCCATTTTTCTCTGATTTTTCCCCATTTTATTCTGATTTTTTTTCCCCATTTTTCTCTGACTTTTCCCCATTTTTTTCTAATTTTTCGCGGATTTTCCCTGATTTTTTTCCCCATTTTTTTCAGATTTTTCCCCATTTTATTCTCATCTTTCACATATTTTCCCTGATTTATTTCCCCATTTTTCTCTGATTTTTCCCCATTTTTTCTGATTTTTTTTGGATTTTTTCTGATTTTTTTCCCCCATTTTTCTCTGATTTTTCCCCATTTTTTTCTGATTTTTCGCGGATTTTCCCCATTTTTTTCCCCATTTTTCTCTGATTTTTCACTGATTTTTACTGGTTTTTTTCCCCGTTTTATTGTGATTTTTCCCCATTTTATTCTGATTTTTCACTGATTTTTTTCTGATTTTTTCCCCCATTTTTTCCCCATTTTTGTCTGATTTTTCCTCACTTTTCTCAGATTTTGCACCCATTTTTTTCTGATTTTCCGCGGGTTTTTTCTGATTTTTTTTCCCCATTTTTCTCTGATTTTTCCCCATTTTTCTCTGATTTTTCCCCATTTTATTCTGATATTTCACGTATTTTCCCTGATTTATTTCTCCATTTTTTTCCCCATTTTTCTCTGATTTTCCTCAGATTTTTACTGGTTTTATTCACCGTTCTTTTCTGACTTTCCCCATTTTTCTCTGATTTTTCCCCAATTTTTTCAGCTTTTTCTTGCTTTCTTTCACAGATTTTTCCCCATTTTTTTCTGATTTTTCCCCCATTTTTTTCCCATTTTTTTTCATTTTTTTCCCCAATTTTTTTCTGATTTTTTCCGTACTTCCGCCGGGTTTTTCCCGGGTTTTTCCCGGGTTTTTCCCGGATTTTTCCCGGATTTTTCCCTTTTCCAGGTGGCTCTCCTGGAGACCAATCCGTACCTCCTGGCTCTCACCATCGTCGTCTCCATCGTCCACAGCGTCTTCGAGTTCCTGGCCTTCAAAAACGGTGACAATTCCCAAATTTCCCTCCTTTTCCCGGGAATTCCATCCCGCAATTCCCTTTTCCCACCATTCCCAGTGGGATTTTTCCCCCCAAAATCCTCTTTTCCCACCCTTTCCCTCCATTCCCGATGGGATTTTTTTCCCCAAAATCCCCATTTTCCACCTTTTTTTTCCACTCCCAACTGGATTTTTCCCCCCCAAATCCCCATTTCCACCATTCCCAGTGGGATTTTTCCACTTTAAAGACCCCAAAAATTCCCATTTCCCACCATTCCCAACTGGATTTTTCCCCCCAAATCCCCATTCCCGCCATTCCCAAACCCCAAATTCCCATTTCCCTCCATTCCCAATGGATTTTTCCACTTTAAAGACCCCAAATTCCCATTCCCGCCATTCCCACCATTCCCAGTGGGATTTTCCCCCCAAATCCCCATTTCCCACCATTCCCGATGGGATTTCTTCACTTTAAAGACCCCAAATCCCCATTTCCCACTCTTTTCCTCCATTCCCAGTGGGATTTTTCCCCCAAATCCCCATTTCCCACCATTCCCAAACCCCAAATCCCCATTTCCCACCATTCCCAGTGGGATTTTCCCCCCCAAATCCCCATTTCCCACCATTCCCAGTGGGATTTTCCCCCCAAATCCCCATTTCCCACCATTCCCAGTGGGATTTTCCCCCCCAAATCCCCATTTCCCACCATTCCCAGTGGGATTTTTCCACTTCAAAGACCCCAAATCCCCATTTCCCACTCTTTTCCTCCATTCCCAGTGGGATTTTTCCCCCAAATCCCCATTTCCCACCATTCCCAGTGGGATTTTCCCCCAAATCCCCATTTCCCACCATTCCCAGTGGGATTTTCCCCCAAATCCCCATTTCCACCATTCCCAGTGGGATTTTCCCCCCAAATCCCCATTTCCCACCATTCCAAATGGGATTTTTCCACTTCAAAGACCCCAAATCCCCATTTCCCACTCTTTTCCTCCATTCCCAGTGGGATTTTTCCCCCAGATCCCCATTTCCCACCCTTTTCCTCCATTCCCAATGGAATTTTTCCCCCAAATCCCCATTTCCCACCATTCCCAGTGGGATTTTTCCCCCAAATCCCCATTTCCCACCATTCCCAATGGGATTTCTTCACTTTAAAGACCCCAAATCCCCATTTCCCACCCTTTTCTTCCATTCCCAATGGGATTTTCCCCCCAAATCCCCATTTCCCACCATTCCCAATGGGATTTTCCCCCCAAATCCCCATTTCCCACCATTCCCAATGGGATTTTTCCACTTTAAAGACCCCAAATCCCCATTTCCCACCATTCCCAAACCCCAAATCCCCATTTCCCACCATTCCCAAACCCCAAATCCCCATTTCCCACCATTCCCAATGGGATTTTTCCACTTTAAAGACCCCAAATCCCCATTTCCCACCATTCCCAAACCCCAAATCCCCATTTCCCACCATTCCCAAACCCCAAATCCCCATTTCCCACCATTCCCAATGGGATTTTTCCACTTTAAAGACCCCAAATCCCCATTTCCCACCATTCCCAGTGGGATTTTCCCCCCAAATCCCCATTTCCCACCATTCCCAGTGGGATTTTTCCCCCCAAATCCCCATTTCCCACCATTCCCAAACCCCAAATCCCCATTTCCCACCATTCCCAGTGGGATTTTTCCACTTTAAAGACCCCAAATCCCCATTTCCCACCATTCCCAGTGGGATTTCCCCCCCCCAAATCCCCATTTTCCACAATTCCCGGCATTCCCTCTCTCCCAGACATCCAGTTCTGGAACAGCCGGCAGTCCCTGGAGGGGCTGTCGGTGCGCTCGGTGTTTTTCGGGGTGTTCCAGTCCCTCGTGGTGTTGTTGTACATCCTGGACAACGAGACCAACGTGGTTGTTCAGCTCAGCGTCCTCGTGGGGCTCCTCATCGACCTCTGGAAGATCACCAAGGTCATGGACGTGCGGGTGAGCCGGGAAAAAACCGGGAAAAAACCGGGAATTCGGGAATCGGGGGCTCCCGAGGGGCTGGGGATGGGCTTTGAGGGGTTAAATCGGGGTTTTTTCCCGGAAAAATCGGGATTTTCCCAGTTAAATTGGGATTTTCCTGCTTAAATTGGGATGTTTTGGGGGTTAAATTGGGATTTTTACGGTAAAATTGGGATTTTTTGGGGGTTAAATTGGGATTTTTTGGGGGTTAAATTGGGATTTTTCCCAGTTAAATTGGGATTTTTCCGGTAAAATTGGGATTTTTTGGGGGTTAAATTGGGATTTTTCCGTTAAAATTGGGATTTTTCCCAGTTAAATTGGGATTTTTCCCAGTTAAATTGGGGTTTTTCCCAGTTAAATTGGGATTTTCCCAGTTAAATTGGGATTTTTCCCAGTTAAATTGGGATTTTTCCCAGTTAAATTGGGATTTTCCCAGTTAAATTGGGATTTTCCCACTAAAATTGGGATTTTCCTGCTTAAATTTGGATGTTTTGGGGGTTAAATTGGGATTTTTCCCTGGTAAAATTGGGATTTACCCAGTTAAATTGGGATTTTCCCAGTTAAATTGGGATTTTCCCAGTTAAATTGGGATTTTCCCACTAAAATTGGGATTTTCCCACTAAAATTGGGATTTTCCCACTAAAATTGGGATTTTTTGGGGTTGAATTGGGATTTTCCCAAAGAGTTAAATTGGAATTTTCCCAAGGGATTAATTTGGGATTTTTCCAGGGGGTAAATTTGGGATTTTCCCGTTTTTCTCTGGGTAAATTTGGGATTTTCTCGTTTTCCCGCGGGTAAATTTGGGATTTTCCCATTTTCCCGTGGGTAAATTTGGGATTTTCCCGTTTTCCCGTGGGTAAATTCGGGATTTTCCCGTTTTCCAGGGGGTAAATTTGGGATTTTCCCG